GTGAGCTACTTTAGAAAAAACAACAAAACAATCAAACCACAAACCACAAAAATCCACCCCGAGAGCCATTGATTGGGACAGGCTGCTCTATGGAGCACGATGGTCTGGTCACCAGCCACGCCCGGAGCTGGCGCACTTCTGTCCTTTTGCAAGAGGCCCACCTGAATCGGGAAACTCTCCTTGTCTAGTCCAAACCATCTCTGCGCTAGTCCTTCTTCACTGGGTTTATGAGGCTGTAAATAGAATGTTAAATGGCTCTTCCCCCTAAAGAATCACTGGTGCATTTGAACCATCTGAGAGGCCACGGGTAGCAGCCCAGTGTCCTAGGGAGTAGGCCACCAGAGCTCAGGCAGGACCAGTCTGTGGCTAAGGCCTCCCCAGCTAGGGTGCATGCAATACTCAAGGCTGAGCGATTGTTCCTCATGCCTCAGGACCTACTCCCCAACTGGCCGTTTGACTCCTCCCAACAGGGTCGGCCTCCTGAGGCGCCGTCTTTCAGACTACCACTTTCTCCACAAACTACATTTCTATCTATAACCCCCAGAATGATTGGCTTTTCATTCTCTCACCTGCTCAGAGATTGAACCCAGAGGCATTCTCCTGGAGTTCATTCCTGGCCAGAGTCCACTTGGCCAAGGTCAAAGCAAGCAACTGGTGCTTCTTCAGTTGGGCCCCCAAATATACTGAGTGAGAACACAAGTTAAATCAGCTCCACGAGCTGAAATTGAAAGCACGTTAAATGACTATGTTTGCATAAACAGCTGTAAGTGATGGAATAAAATATAAGATTCACGTGAGGTTTCAAGGAAAAAATGTTTTAAAGAAAACTCAGGCTCACCTGGTCTGTGAGCTGCAACATGGAAGCAGGGGATAAGAGTGAACGCTTCCTCAACAGGAAGAAGCCAGCAAACATGTCTCACTCCGTGGCTGAAGCTGACAGCAAGTGGGACGGTCATAGAAGCACCGGCCGGACCTCATCACTGACTAGGGATATGCAGCATCTCACACGCTGTGTGTGAGAGGTCATGTGGGGTCAGTGTGCTCTGAGGGAAAGGGGCTCCAGAAGCGATGGAGGTCAGGAGAAGCTCAGGTGAACGACTGTCTCCTCTCCCAGGTTTTCACTGCCCAAGCCCCTTGAGGGTTCCCTCCCCACTTGGTAGGATGATGGGACTGGAAAGCAGAAGAGGCTGCCGTCTTTAACTGACCTCTTGGACCAAACCTCACTGACTTGCAAGAGACCGGGTCAACGGCAAACATACACACCTACATTTCATGAGCACTTTTGTGCCCGTTCCTTTGGTAAACACTACAAACAGGTTAGTACTGTCCTTCTCACGAGTGAGGGTAGAGAGGTACAAGAACCTGGCAGAGTCAACAGTGGGAATAAACTCAGGCCTGTCTGTCCTCTTTAATCATGACGCGAAACTGCCTCATTTACAGAATTCCCTCTGTGATAGAAGACACAGTTCCCCTCGTGGATATTCAGAGAAACAAGTGCTGACTGACTACATTCTAAGTGTGTAGGTCTGTAAATTACTTTTTCTTAAGAAAGGACTTAAAAGTGTAGCCTTGTTTTTTTCAATGCTCAGTGCCTGTCAGTGGTGGAGACAATGCATGCAAAGCAAAACTGTGGGCTTATTAATGGCAACAAGCTGTCCTCATGTTCATCTTACTTAAAAAACTGCCAGGGACAGACTTGAGGGACAGCTTGTATCCACTCTAAGGAATAACGGTTTTGGACATCCTGGTAGTTTCCTCCCTGGACCGAGGAAGGCCAGTGGAAGCACAGCATTGTGGACTCTTGTGCTCCGCTCTGACATTATGTGACAAGCTTTCATGGAATCTATTCCCTCCTGGTGACCCTGTGTATGTCTGAGCATCAATTTTTAAGGACCGTTTTACCAAAGCTGATTGCCAGACCTTTCTTCTGAGGTCCCTCTAAGGTAGACTTGAAATACTAACCTCTTCATTTACTATTTGCACCTTTTCAAACTCCTCTCATACTAGACTGAACAGGAATGCCCAGGAGGAAGAAGTGAGAGAGAGGAGAAGGGAGATCAATGGGATTCTCTGTCAAAAGAGCGAAAACACTGCTCGATCCTATCAAGGCATTATTTGTTACTGATATTGTGGAGACAGAGATGACACATAGCTGACTCTCCTGTGAGTTTTCATAAGCAGTAAATCACATGGGAGATTGCCTATCCTTCTTCCGTGGAACAGATTGGTGGATTTGAACCATGCGCCTCTGGGACTGCAGCTCAGCTTCTTGCCACTAAGCCACCAGAGTTATGTGACAATCAAAGCCCAGGAACATGGCAGAAGAGTCATCGTGTTGAGTCATGCTGGGACGACAGAAATCATTTCTACTGATTGACTAAAGGTAGGATGCGTTGATTTCTTCTGTAACACTTCATTTACATGCTCTTACTACTGTCCAAGACTTAATTAAGGAAGTTCAACAGCAAATGTCTTTCTGAGCAACACAGGGGAAGTCTTCCTTTCAGATTCATTCTCATTTAAAATGGGAGGATGAACAGACTTGAATAAAACTACCAAACATTTTTTTTTTCATTCCAAGTATTTATAATTCATGTACATTTTTAAAGTATAAAGTGAAATATAGGTTAATGGATTGGATTCCATGTGGCATGAAAATGTTACATACCATTGAGCTGTAACAGACTCACAGCTGTCCCTCCAGCAGGTTTTCAGAGGCTGTAAGTCACACAGGAGGCAACTGCACATCCTTTTCTTGCAGAACAGCTGGTGGATTTCAAACCAAATAAAATAAGACATAGGGAGAAAAAAAAACCCAATGACCAGGCATACATCAATCACACTGAAGTCAGGAACAGAGAGTCTGGTCCAATTTTTCTTTTAATTGCCCCAATGTTACTGCCCACCTACTTTCTTCTGCAAAGTTTCAATAATCACACTTCAAACTCTTGTTCTGGGAATAGTATCTGTGATTACAACTGAAAAGCATGTCTCCAGAGCCCTTAAATACCATTTAAGGAACCAGAATCTCAGTGCCAAATTTCCAGTTTTAATACAGAAAATTCTCAACATTAAATGAGCAACTGCTTCATGATTTTAAAAAGATCTGATAAGAAAATGTAGTAAAAGTATTGCTTCCACAGTGAAATTGGACAGTCTAACCAAGAGACAATTGAGACAAGGGCAAACTTCACCAAAGCAGTTACACAATCGGTCCTTATTTCTTCTTTGACATTTTATAGCTCTTTACAAAGCCATTATTTTACAGCCTTTATATTGAAAGTGATGTTCTTGACACTTAAATCTTTACATGTTAAACCCAGAGGATATGGTATGTTAAAACACAGGAATGACATGTGTGTTGCTTGTAAGTAATAGTACAATAGAGGCCTGACTATGTAAAATTCCACAGGTATGTTACTTTGCCAAATAACACAAAAAATTCACAATGCAAAATTAAGAGTGTTTATTTCTTTGCTTTAAAAAAAAGAAAACATTTCATAATGCTGGGACCTGTAAAATATCTGGGTTTTTTTTTTAATTTATAGAATCAAGGGAAGTATTTTCAATGTCAAAATATACAAGCTGAATGTGATTTTGCATATAAAGCACCAAAAATCTGAAGTTTACAAAATTGTTCAAAGGTGCAATTATTCATGAATTACATTCAGTTGAGTGAAAAAACAGTACCTCAAAGATCATCAATATTTAAGAACTATCTAAATAGGTTTCAACTTAAGTGTACAGCAAAATAATAAATACTGCTTTAAAGTTTTTGTATGCAAGTCATCTACATTTTCAATTCAACATTTAAGCATTGCTTTATTTTGTGGATGGCAATTTGATCATTAATTCCAGTTTAAGAAACTTCATATACAACATCATAATGCCCAAAGCAACAATTTTTAATCATTTAATGAACAGCTAAAGTTAACAAGAAAAAAAGTTCTCTCTCTTCCATAATTAAACATAGAAGTATGTGTAAATAAAATGATTTTTTTTAAATGTTATTAAACAGCCCCCTCCGTTATCAGGGCTAGTCTAAATATGTCATTATCGCTCCAGTAAAAACTGGCTACTACCGTGAAGTTAAATGAGTACATAATTCATTTCTTGGTTTACCAATCACAGTAAGTGTGGTGTTTATGAACGCCCTCCCTTCCAACACTTGGTCAGTGCCATGACAATGCAACAGGGAGAACTAACTGCCAGTATTGCTCTAACGAGAGGAAGTCAGCTGGCCTGGAGACCGAGGAAGGGGAGATGCGGGACTTGACTTGGCTTCCAGTTATGTGGAGTTGCCATTACTAGTCTCACTCTGAATAGCTAATATTCACACTGCTGACACGAAACTCGGCAAGCTGCTGTTCTGAAACTTCTAAACCACCTACATTTACATATTTAGGTTTTACTGTATACAATTTAAAAAAGAAAAGTTTGTGTGCTTTAGTTTTCATATCAAATCTTTCTAGGTTTCTAAGGATGGAAGAGTTAGAAAAAAAGACTAAGAAAAGAAGTTCAGGAGAAGAGTCAAGACTGTAGAGGAACATTACATACATAGCACTCACCAAATATTTTAATTTAAAAGAATATATATATGTGTGTGTATGTGTGTATATATATATATATATAAAAGCAAATACACTTCCTCCCTAAAAATCCATATTATTCCATGATACATTTCACAGCCACCAGTATATATACTGATATATTTTTCACAATCTGCTCAGTTATCCATTTTTAGATACACTTTTAGAATTAAAAGATGTGATTACCACAGCCATCTAAATAGTGGATATGGGGAAATGTGCTCAGGATGACAACTATTTACAAGAATCTCTATTTACGTCCGCAATAAATAATCCTGATATCCAAAGTGGGGATGTTCATGCACAGACGAGATGGCTGCATGCTGTTAAAATATGTACATGTCGTCTCCTCGTGCCAGCTCTCCTGTTCATCCAGAAAGTGCGTGTCGCTCAAATGTCCCTAGGATTCCCTCAGTCCTGCTTCTGAGGGATGCAGCCCTCCATCTCCACGACTTCCGGCCACCCTTCATATTTGTTTGTATCCTTATTGTTCTTTATGTGCTAGTGAAGACAGAAGCAATAAACAGTTTAAATAACCTTTGCCAACTCTTAGCTTATGATAAATATGTTACTTATTTTAATTGACTCATAAAGTTCAAATACATAAGGTACATTAATTCGAGGCAAGGAACAGTACTTCAGAGATCATGAATATTTAAGAAGTATCTAAACTGTTTCCAGCTGAATTTACAGCAAAATCGTGGACACTCCTTTTCCGTGAGCCATCTATCTACATTATAACTCACTGAGTTCATACAAATTATTGTCCAAAATATTAAATGAGGAATTTTGGGTGCTTGGCGTGTGTGTGGTAAACTCTGAAATAACAGTCAAAAGAACAAAACATTTCTTATGGAGTATTTTTTTTTTTAATGGAGTATTTCTTAAGCAAAAAAAAAAAATAAAGTTTACGTCCTATTAAATTCTAAAGTGTTTGCAAATCTTACTATCCTAACTTCACACTTAACTCATCTGCTGTGGAGTCAGAACTGACCCACTGCTGACCCTTCAGCAGGTTTTCAGAGGCTGGAAATAGCACAGCAGGTGATTGTCTGTCCGCCTCCTGTGGAGCAGCCAGTGGACTTGAACCACCTACCTTTGGGTTGGCAGCGCAGCTCCTTAGACAAAGTTTTTAGCAACTGTTGTTCGGTGCCACTGAGAGAGCCATCCCATGTATAACAGAAACCCTACCCAATCTTTCCCCATTCTCTCTCTACCACCCTGTGTATAACAGAAACCCTACCCAATCTTTCCCCATTCTCTCTCTACCACCCTGTGTATAACAGAAACCCTACCCAATCTTGCCCCATCCTCACAATCTCTGCAGGCACATGCTCTAAATCTATTACAATTGCATTCCAATGCATTGTCATGTGTGTGGGGGGAACAAACCTGTAGAATTGTGTCATTTTTAGGTCTCAAAATTAAATCAGTGCCATAAATGATTCCCAAGGTCCTATTTTTTCAGAGTTTATGGAATTTACTTATATTACACATGAAAAGTCTAGCACTCACCTGTTCAAAGGGGCTTTTTGTCTTAATGCCTTTCCCACCACAGAAGACCCAGTTATCTCTGAAGGCGAGATTCGTGATGGCCGTACTCCCCAGATCAGCAATGAGCCGCCGAGCCTCGTCATTGAGCCTTAGAGGAGGAGACAGAAAATACAATCAGCACAGTACACAGCGCGCTATTCACATCTAACAAAGCCCACGAAAGAAACCATCGGCTCAAATAAGAGAGTATCAAAAAGGAAAAGGCTCAGTAGATAAACGAGGACAACAGAAGCCCATCGGTGCAGAGATCTAGTCTTAAGCCATACACGCAGCTGACCCTCCAGTGAGTTTCCAGAGACAGTAAATCACATGGGAGGAGACTGCTTTTCCCTCTCAAAGAGCAGCTGGTGGATTCGAACCACATGTCTTTTGGTTGGCACATTAGCTCCTTATTAGGTAACCAAAGCTTGCTAATACCACCACCACGACCACTTCAACCAATGTGTTGGCAAGATGTTTCACATTTGCCATCAGCTAGAGGAACAGTCACTGCAAAACCAATTCCTGCAAAACACTACTGAGGCCGCTATTCACTGATTTCCTATGGAAGGTAATCATTTATTCCATGGCATTCTTTGAAGGATCTGATATGAGCAAAAGTGCAAAGAACTAAGCTGAAATAATGATATGAGACTGCCGTACAGAGGTTCACGGGAGGCTTTCTCCTGCAGAGAGGCCACCATGGGGCTCAGGGCATGTTTACATTGCAGGGAAATGACAAATCTGCACATCACAGGCCTGTGGGATGCTGAAGTAAAGGGCGTTAAGTTCTCGAGTGGCAAGGAGGCTCTGTGTTACACACAAGACTGGCCCAAAAAGGAAGCGAATATCCAAATGCAGGAATGGCCACTAACCAAGGTAAGGAGACTTCTCTTAGATAAGAGTTTTGTGTCAATGTAAAAAATATATAATTGAGTAGTCATTTTTCATCTCTATACTGTGGACTTTTTTATCTCCTGGAAGAAATCAAGCCAATCCAGCCAGAGATCTAGAAGCAAATGGAAAATTTTGACTCCATCAATCTTGCTTTACGGCCCTATATGGACACAATTAAGTTCGAGACAGATGTTAGGGTGCCCGCTTAAGACACAGGAAGCCCAGCTTGAAAGACTGGGCTCCAAGTGGCACCAGGAACATAACAACTTCCCCTGACAGGAAGGGACGGTGCCAACCTGCACAAACAATGTGGCTTGTGTTGAACACACGCTTGCTTTCTGGGTTCCGAGAATTTCGCAGATGCTAGGCAGAAGAGCCTCGTGACCAAGGCTTCACAGAAACAACCGTGGACCATGAACAGGCATCCTTGGGACATTTCACTCGAGCTGTCACAATTCATTGCTGGTGGGATTAATTACGCTCTATGCAACTCCATCTTGCGGGTGGGTGGGTGGGGCTCTTGGAATGATGGGCTGGACTGCATTCTGTAGGGAGTTCGGGTGACCTAGTTGATAGTTCGGATCTACCCAGCAACTCTGAGCTAGAAGACTGTCTGTATTCTCACACAGAGCTTACAGCCTCTGTCCTATGGTGGTGTTACGGGTCTGAACTGGCTCAACAGCACACGTAAACTTGGAAGAGGAGACAGTAAAAAGGAATAGCAATTCGCCGAACTCCACCTAGATAGAACTTCACAAACCATTAAGACATTTGTTCAGGGTGCTGTGGTAGCCTCGTAGGTGAGACGTTTTGCCACCAATCCAAATGTAGGAAACTGGCAGCCAGCAGCTGCTTCATGCAAGGAACATGGACAATCTCCTCCTGTGAGATTCATGGCCTCTGGGAAACTACTGGAGGGTCAGCTAGGAGTTGGTTCCAACTCATGAGTGAGTCATTTCCTTTAGAATTTGTGCCTTGCACCTCTTCCCTTTGCTGATTTGATTCTGTATCGTTTTGCTGTCATAAAACAGCTGTGAGGATAGTCTATAGGTTGAACGCTCCCAGAAAGTCCAGCTGAAGAGCAGTCTCAGGTCCCTGACAGTGGAACGAGTGAGGGTGTGTGTGTGTTTTCATGTACATGTACATTCTAGAGGAACTACACTATTGCTCTTGGGTTGGAACTGACTTATAGCTAAGAACCATGTGATACAGCCAGCATCCTGGACACTGGATTACGTATCAAGTGAATGTCAACATGTCCCACGGCTTTGAAAGCCAGAGTGCCACATTTATATATATATATAAAAAAAATAAAATTTAGATAGAAAAACTTCTTTATTCTATATAGAAACATCATGGGTTTATTGTGTGTGTTTTACTCTTTAGTAAAACCAGGGCGTCCCTTGGAGGCAAGGATGGTAAAACTCCATCTCACATACTTTGGGCATGTTACAAGGAGGGGCCAATCTTTGGAGAAAGACAGCATGCTTGGAAAAGTGGAGAGCCAGCAAAGGAGGGGAGGACCTCAATGGGATGGACCGACACAGTGCCTGCAGCAATGGACTCCATCTACTGTGGCAGAGATGAAGAGGACGGATGGCGCAGGAGAGGGCAAGGTTCAGAGTCGATGTTCACAGGGTCGCTATGAGTTGTCGTCTACTCAATGGCACACATACCAACACAATAACAATCGTGTTAACTAACTCAACTGTTTAAAAAGTTAAATGAAATAAATTCTTTTGGGTAAGAATTTTCTGGGAAGTAGAGAACGGGAAGTAGACAGAGCCAGGGATCAAGTCTCTTCTGAAGATGCTCAGAGGCCACAAGGAATGGAAGTGCAGCAGGAGCGGTTGGCGATGGGGAGCCTCTGAGATTGGCCTTCAGCCTCATTGGGAAAAGAGGTGCACTGGACATCCCTGCTGATCAAGGTCACCATCAAAGCAAGCCAATTTATACTCCATTTTTAAAAAAGGAGACTTCCTGGGTGGCACAGATGGTTGATGTACTCAGCTATTGTTAACAGAAAGGTTGGTAGTTTGAGTTCATGCAGAGGAGTCTTGGAAAATAGGCCTGGTGATCAATTTCAGCAAAATCAGCCACAAAAAAACAAAATCAGAAACAAAAAACGCAGGGAGCACAGCCGTACTCCAGCGCAGACACATTAGTGACTTTCTGCTGGGTTTTGGAGGCTGCAATTCACAACGTGAAGACCCCCCACCTCTTTCTCATGCAGAGCTGCTAGGGGACTCAAGCAGCCTTAGACGTGCAGCCTCTGCTTTCTGGACCATGGGAGCTCCCTGCTGACGTGCAGCCAACTCTTTTTTCTATCTTTTTCAAAAAGCACCAGGTACAAGAAGAACTGAGAATCTGAGTTCTGCAAGGATCAATGGAGAAGGCCAAGCTGGAAGTGTGACTGTAAAGAACATTGAGAGAATGTCAACATATTGTCCATAAAAGTGAAGAATTAGGTAAGAAAATACCAGCAATAGGGGCCACTGAAGCCTAGTACAAAAGAGAACATATTACAAAAAAAGTCCCATGAGGGAAAGACTCTTTAAAAACAAGCAAGCAAAACAGTAATTTTCAACTCTATAATTACAAATCCCAGAAAAAAGGGAGGATAGTTTCTAAATTAGTGCTATTACAGGGGTGTTCTGTGATGGACTCAAACTTAAAAAAGGAAGTGAGCAAAAATACAAGGCAAACCACACGTTATACTAATGACAAAGCTTTTACCGTGGCCATCAGGAGGTTTTATAGTCCTCTGGATAAGAGATGGGGCAAACTTGAAAGTTACTAGGCGTGAAAACAAAGGGGCTGCCCACTTCACAGGAAGTATAGTGAAATACTGACAGATCAAAGGTTCTGACTTGCCTTGTCCAGGGAGGTGTCACTGTAAAATGGACATGAAGCTCAAGGCCATCCACAAGAACCTGAAAGCACACTTGAGTGTCTAGGCTCACATGAGTCTCACATGATGCTAAAGAACGTCTTCAAATCATCTAAAAGTTAGTGCTACTTCAGAATAGTCATGGACAACGGAGACAGAAAGACAATGCCAGCTAAATATTCCAATTTCTTTTTAAGTGGGAGAAGGTTACAGAATCAACATAAACCAATTTCCATTCCCAACAGACTTATAAAATGAATTACAAAACAGCAATAATCTATGAACGCTTAAAAAGAAGCAAAGGGGACAGCGAGTAAGGAGTAAGTGAAGTCGAGTTACTAACGATAGAGCTATTTCAGCTTCTCAAGAGGTTCTGGGCAGCACATCAGGGCACTGTAATTACTAGCAGTTCATGAATTTCAAGTGAGCATCTGAGAGTCTCAGAAAGAACCTGCCCTCCATGAATAAAATAACAAAATAGCAGCTGGAGGGTCTATCTGCTAAGGTTCACTGGCAGCTGTCTGAATTGGAGAGTCTGCAGCTGATTAACAGATTGGACCCCTTGCAGGCGTCTCCTAACAGGGTGGCACCCTCAGCCTTCAGTAAACATTTTTATCAGGCACTTAGATTTAGACAAGAAACGGACTCTGGGGAGAGTGCACAGGACAAATGTCAGAATAAAGACAGAGCGAGCCAAACCCAACAATACTAATCTTAACAAGGATAAATGAATATACAGTTTTTCCATTTCGAAGAAAACAAAAATCAAGGTCTATATGGAGAGAGACCAGACTTGGCAGTGGTTTACAAAAAAAAAAAAAAAAAAGTCTGAGAACAAATAAAAAAGAGCTAAGAATTTAACTTGACCAAAAATTCCACGAGCCAAAAATGTGATGTGACTTTTTCAAGCAAACTAATACATTACTAGACTGAATGAATATTCAAAGAAATATAATCTCCACAACATGGGAAGCTCAGATCATGGGACCTTGAGCTGTCCAGACCACATCTGGAACAGTGAGCTCACTTTAGGGACACTTTTTTTAAGAGATGCTAATCAACTAGAGAATGCCTAAGGGGGTGAGGATGTTTACCAGGAGGGTCAAACCTCCTAGACATGCTCTATGATGAAAGGTTAAAAGACCAGACACCTGGAGCCTGAAAAGAGGGACACCAAAAAAGGGAATTTCCAATTTGCTTCAAATATTTATAGCAAAAGTTGTGGCAAGAAGCTGTACTGCAATCCCAAAGGCACACAGTTCAAGGCCACCAGCTGCTCTGCAGGAGAGTTAACTGCCTCTGAAAACCCGCTGGAGGGTCAGCTATGGGTTGGTTCTGACTTGATGGAACACAACAGCATTTCTCCTTAGAGGGAAGGACAGTGAAATACCGCCTCACATACTTCAAGCATCTGAGTCAGGAGGGGCTAGTCCTTAGAAAAAGGCATCATGACTTTTGTGTCAAAAAGAACTAACTGAAATGAAACATTAGATTATCTTACTCTTGGTTCCCTCAGAAGAAACAGATGAAAATTATCTTACCCAGAAAGTAACTGCAGGAGAGTGGGGGGTGGTGGTGGTCAGGAGGTAATGCTGTTCACGTCAGAGATATTCGAGATGTAATTGCATTTAAAAGGTGGCATTTGGAACCTCTGGAATATTTTCCAAGTGAAACAGGTGGCCTTACACATGCATCTGCGAGCATCAGGGGTACCCACGCCTATAAGCACATGGAACTTGAAGGAGGCGTGCACAGGGTGTAGTGGGTGCCAAAGATGGAGCACCACGACCGCCTCCACACGGGCACCACGAACGCCTCCACACGGGCACCA